ACACCTGGAGCCCCAAAGGTTGAGAATCACAGGATTAGATACGCCACTCAAGATCATACAAAGCAGTGGTTGGGAAAGTAAGTTTACAGGCTGCATGTGACTGGGCCCCCTTATCTGTGGGCTCCAGTCCTCAAGGATATTCTCTGCTTTTAAAAAGAAAATGTGGACAAATTACAATATGAAAATTTCCTAGGTCTCTGAAAAAATGCAGCAATTTTGGTTAATTTGGTTAACATCCAGGAAAAATCTCTTCAAACAGGAAAAAATGTACCAGAAGAAAAACCATGCTACTTCTAGTATGCTAAATGCATCTTGATGCCCATCTTCACAGGTATGGGGCCAAAAACAGCACCGGATGTAGTAGCAAACCCTTGCTGCTGTGCACATTTGGAAGCAAGTATACAAGTACCAATACTTTGTGATTGTGTACTCTATTCCCCTACCACCCTGTGTTCATAGTGTTTCCCTCTAAATTATGGTGGCTCATCTGAACTGTATCTGAATAGAACTGCTATTTTCTTGCAATATCATGGAATATTCCCTATTTCCTATTCACTGACGAACATGTCAAGGAGCCCCTACTTTTCAACAGGAACCCCGGATTGAGTCTGGTGGCATCTCAGGGCCCTTCCCAACAGCCATGTAACCCACAATATCTGTTTTGAACTGGGTTATCTGAGTCCACACTGCCATATATTCCAGTTAAAAACCGATGATGTGGGATTTTTTAAATCAGCTGTGTAGATGGGGTCTCGGGTGTCTTATTATGATCTACTGTAAAAGACTGTTCCTTGTGTGGAAAATAATTATTTTGCTCTTGAACTTTATTCTGTGTTTACTTCGTTCTTATAACACTTTGGAGGACCACAATGGACTGTACATTTCTGACTCAGTTTCTTTGTGCTGGTCAGTGACTGTAATAACGTTTTGTATTATATTGACTCAGTTTGACTAGAAAGACATACAGAAGTCACTTTCTAGAATTCACGTATCTTTAAAGTTTTGGTCTTATTTATGTTTGTTCTGAGATGTTTTCATAATTTTTTCTCATGCAAGTCTCCTACTTTTATTTGTTGGTTGTTATTCTTTAGGCAACTGTTATTCGATTGGGGTTTGTGTGTTATTTTCCTTGTGTCCTGCGTGTATGTTTTTGTCATCTTGAGGTTGGCACTGCCTTGCTGGAATTCAAATTTATTACCAGTGGTAACTATCTAATTTACTTATCTAGACTCTATCACAGTGCCTTACATCTGCAACAGAAACTTGCTGCCTGACATACATCAGCATCCAAATGCAAATTTAATCCATGGTTTCGGTTTTATCTCTAAGATTGCTTTATCTTTCTTTCAGTTGCCCCATGGATTTGACCCTGCCAATGGTTATTAAGCATTTAACATCAACCATTTCACATTCTGTTTCACTCAACCCAAATAACCTGTAGACTTTATGCAAGCAAGCCACACATAGATTACTTTTAGAATATTTCAACATATACTATTATTGTTTTTAGGTGCCTTCAGGCCAACTCTGACTTTTTGTGAGCTCATCACAAGATTTTTTGACAAGATGCTTTTGCTATTGCCGTTATGTTAAGCTGAGAGACATGACCTAGTGGGTTTCCATTTTCAAAGGGGATTTAAACCCTTGTCTCCTAGAGTCCGTGCTGGCTTCCTTATTTGCTTTTAAGCTGCAGGAAAATTGAGTCATTTTTAAGGTTACAGACTAAGAAATATTACTGTATGAAATGCGTAAAGGAGGGATTATAATTATACAACCACTGTTCCATTGGCTTTCCCTATAACACCAATACATTGCGATTTGAACTAAAAGACTCAGCATTAACTATTAGAATCAGCATACTGCTGGAAGAAATAGAGCTCTTTTATTCTTCACTGCACCCATGGGATAATGGCTCTTTGTAGCTGCACCAGGAATTCTGTTTTTCAAGAAAATTCTGTTTTCAAGAAAGCAAATTATTACCATTGAAAGGCACAGGTCATCTCTTTCTGTAATGATAATATGTTATTAAAATTACTCCACCTCATGTGTACTCTGACTAGTTATGCTAACTGGGTCTGCCCTGTTCAGAGGTTCATCCTGTTCCCTGCCCTGAAATGCCTATTTTGGAGTGGGATCTAGGGATCTAGAAGTCTTAATAGACGAGGAGCTGAACGGTAGTTTAAAAAGCCAATATGATTCTAGGCTGCATCACTAGAAATTTAGTGAGTAGATTGAGGGAAGTAGCACTCTATTCTGCTTTGATCAGACTTCACCTGAAATACTGTATCTAGTCATGGGCACCACAATTGAAAAAGGATATGGATAACCTAGAATGCGTCCAGCGCAGGGTGACCAAAATGGTCAAAGGTCTTGAAATCATGCAGGATGAGAAATAGCTTAGGGAGCTAGGTATGTTTAGCCTGGAAAATAAAAGGTTAAAGTAACATAATATCTAAATATTTAATGTCATATTAAAGACGGAGCAAGCTGACTCTGCTGCTCCAGAAATTAGAACATGAAGCAATGGATAAAGTTTTAGGAAAAGGGATTTTACCTAAATGTTAGGAAGAATTTCTTGACAGTAAGAGCTATTTGACAGGGGAATATTCTATTTGAGTATGGCAGAATCTCCTTCCTTGGAGTTTTTAAAGGGCGCTTACATACGTGGCTTAAACCCGTGCCGAAGCGGGTCTAAAAAACCTGTTTCATTGAGGGTTTAAATCCCCTATGCCCACTGTTCTGTCGCCACTGGGCCTGTACACAATGTCTTTATTCTATAGGACGCACACTTTAAACCCAGTGGGAAGCCGGGGTGCCCGAAGAGAGATTGTTAGAGACTTCCAGAAGTAATGGGCTTTAGAGTTCTTTAAAAGTACAACAAAGTCTTTATTAAGGAACAAATCTTCAAACAAAACTTCAAGGCTTTACTATTCTAGTCTTTAAGAGACTGGCACTAACTTGGTTTAACTGTACTATCTCAACATGAAGAAGAACCCTTTATAATCTCTCCCAGGCCGTTCATCACCTAGGCCTCGCTGGTCTGGGTATAACTGCCGATCCCAAATGCGTCTGGAAACCAAGTAACCTACCAGACGAAGATAGAAGATGTTTAGCTGGAATTCTGTGGTTCTGTAATGCTGTCCTGTGGAAACTTCAGGGCTGTTTCCCCCTCTGGTGCTGAGAGGCTGTGAGCTCTCAGCCAGAGCCTTTGGGACCTTTTCCTTCCATTTCTCTGGAACTGGATAGTCAGTTTGGACCCCGGATGGTCTTGAGGAATGAAGCCTTTCCTACGGGACAAACTGATTTGTGTCCTATAGGCTGGCTTCCTTGTGTGTGACTGACTAAAATGGTTCCTCTCTCTTCCCAAAACCCAGGAAAAGGGGCGGAACCAAAGCTAAATGAAGATGGACAGGGGGCTTGCCCTATGACTGCAAACTATAATAGGAAGCCAACCTGCTGCAAAATCCCAAGCCTGGGATTGCAAACAAACCTTTAGTTCAAAGCAAATAAAATTGGAGCTCCTGGAACAGCTGTTCCAGAACACCCACCCAGAAAACTCGTTCTTTCCTGGTGGAGTGTCCCCATGCCATTCCGGTAACTCCCCAAAACAGCCCTATATTTTTTTTAAAAACTACCGGGTCACCTTTACAATGGCTCTGGAGTCGTCTTGGAGCATAGAAATGATGTGCCAGGAGTTGTTTTGTTTTTTTTTTGGGGGGGGGGGTAAAGAGCAATTTTCCTCCTTGTCCCTCCCTGTCTCCTGGTCCTTCAATTCTAGGACCACAGTAATGTTGCTCTGATAAGTTTTTACAAGTTTTTAGGGCTGATTTGGAAGTTTTTGTGGAAGGGGGTGGGCTCCAGCTCATTCCTCCGGGCTTTTGGAAGCTGGAAGAAGCGGGATGTCAATGTGAGTCCCCACAGATCGGGGCCTTGCAGAAAGGCCCAGATTGAATGAGGTATCTAATTAATTTAGAACAAAGCAGGGTTTACCTGATTTATCTCAAATTAATTCATTTCTCCTGGAGTTTGAATGCTTCCAGTAGAATGCTTCCTGTAGTTTGGGCCCTGTCTGGAAGCACCCAAAGACAGGCTGGATGGCCATTTGTCAGGAATATTTGTGTGTTTCTGCGTGGCAGAATGGAGATGGACAAGATGACCCTTGTAATCTGTTCCAACTCTATGATTCTATGGGAGGGTGTATTTGGTAGCATATTAAAAATAGGAATATTTAGTCATAGGTAAGTGAAAATGGTAGTGGATATTATTGTTTAACATAGAAAGGGTAAGGAGCAGATTCGGTTGTAGTTACCTTACTTTGTACTTGAATGTGTCCATGTGCGCAGAAGAAGAAAAGAGTCAGATGCCTTTGATCTTTGCATATTTTCTCTTTCAGAACTCTCAGTTCCTGAACTCCAAGGCCACATTCCTCTTTTTCAACTGGACCACATGAATAGACCCTAGTTTTACTTAAATTGTCCTCCTATCTCTCAGGGAACAAATATGTGGGAAGTTCAAGAAGTGGATGCTTTCTTCTGCAGCCCTTTTCTGTCCTTTGGAATGTGCCATTTGTCTTGATTGTCGAGGAAAATCTGGTATAGATTTTGTAGTTAAAAATCTACATCTTGTTTGAGGTTTTGGCAACCACTCAAGAACACATATCTTTATTTCTTCAAGGGGAAAGTGTAGGTGTTTCTGGACTTTAGCAGGGTTACACTTTGACTCCAGGGTAATTACAGTAAATGCTGGCCCTAAATCATGTCTCTGATCTGGATTTTTTCCCTCTTAATTTGCTACTGTTGTAACTCAGTGTGTGGGTCAGGAGGTGTGGCACTATATAACCCTTCCAGGCAGAAACCTGTTCCACTAAGAGAAGCAGGACACTTGCAGGGCAACAATGTCCCATCTGGAGAAACCTCAGGCGATGAACGCAGCAGAAGCTACACCAGGAGGGAGCATTGAGTTAACGGGAATGATGATTTCTAACCCTGTTTCTCCCATAGCCACCATGTCCACCAAGAGGCTGCGCAGTGAAGACTACAATGACTACAGCTCTACAGAGGTGACTCCTGATGGCAGCCCCCCAGAGGGATTAAGTGGCTTTTCTGGCTCATCATCCTACCAGCGGTTTGGAGAGGCAAACGGGACAACGTAAGTGGTTGTGCTCTTTTCCATCAGAAGTCTCCTGGGTGGGTATTGCTTTCATCTAGGGGAGAGAGTGAGATCACAAAAAAAATGTGTCATGTTTTCCCCTTTCATAATGGAAGTGCAGAAGTTCTTGCCAAAATCCAGTTGCTAATCCCTTCAGGAGAAGGTCTATTTGAAACAACAAAATAGGCATAAAATGTCGATTTGTCAAGTTGCCTTTGATTCAGTGAGTCTTCTTTGGACAAGATTAGCTGTTTAATTTAGACTCAAGGTCATAGTCATGTGTCCCAATTATACTTAGCTAAGATTCTCTGAGTTAATTGTAGATTCAGGGTGTAGTTCCTCACCTGGTAGTCACGGTGGCTTTTGGGCAGGCTGCTGTGCCACTTTCTTTGTTCCTTAGAAGTATGAATTAAGCCGGGCCTCAATATTGTGAAGTTTTATTTGTTTACACATAGAACTTGAATTCCTCTTGCTCCTTCTTCCCTGAGGAAATCACAACTTCCAAGCATACATTTTTCAAAGATGTGTTGTCCACCAGCTTTGTTTCTGAAAAACTGCTCTGAACATAGAAAGCTTGCACTTCACCCTTATTTAGTGTACTGAAGCCAATTAAAATCATGACTCTGTTTTGCTTAGAACTTAAGTCTCTTTATTAGGATTTTTTTTAAAGTTCCAGATTGGAAACCCTTTCCATGTAACAAGCTAAGACTTCGTTAGAAAAATCACAAAAAGAAATGAAAGCTCCAAAATGTAACACTGGTTTGATTTTAGCCCACCTTTCCAATGATAGTAGCTCTGCCCTCTTTTAAAATTAAACTTCTGATGCATATCACTGTGTTCTTGTGACTCTGATATTACAAAATCATTTGGAAACTAGCCTCATTATCCTTTTCTACAAAAGTGTTACTCCAGTTGCATGGATTTATTTACTGAGTGAGATGCAAATAGCTTACAGTATAAATTAAACCTTTAAGACAATATGGAATACAAAAGAAAAAAAGGTGCACTCAGCTAAATATTTGAAATAATAAACCAGTTAAAATATTTAAAATACCCCAGAAGCTCATCTAATTGAACACCACTCTACCTTGGACTGCCAAGGTTGAAGGCCAATTTGCTTATCAGCCAAGCCTGGGAGAGTGATGGGATGCAGAGAAAGCCCTCCCCTGAAAACTCGGTCACACTCATTTGGGAGATGCAGGCTTTCAGATTTTGGATGTAAGTGTAGATATTTGTGGCAGGTATAGACCTATATAATATACTACATGCCCCTATTATTGAGAGTGAATTTTAATTGGTCGTTTGATACCCAAACTGTGCTCTTCCAAATGAAGGATCTGGCTGTTGCTATGCAAAATATAACGAACATGCCATGACTGTTGTGTACTTTAGGCTTCTCCTGAAGGTGGTCTAGAATATAGAAGTGGGCTGAATTTAAATCCTATCAACTCTCGCCTCTGGGAGTGCTGCCTAGGCCAGTCCAACAATATCTGGAAGTCCAAAAGTCCCTCAGCTCTGGATTAGAAATGTCTCATCTGAACCATGGCTTTGTTCCCAGTTCTAGCTGATCGATTTCATTATTCTAAATGAAAAAAGTATACTTTGTCTCCTTATCCTATAGTCTCTCCGCTCCTGTTTTGAGATCTGATCTCTTTGTTTCCTCAGATGGCTTCAAACCCTAATACACCTGTTGAAAGGGAACATTGGAACAGGTTTGCTGGGGCTTCCGCTGGCCATCAGAAATGCTGGCATTGTGGTAAGCCTTCTGCCTTCCTGTTTATTTTCAATTACTAGGTTGGATGGTCACTTTTGATAACTTTCTATAAGAGGCAAGCATGTCCCATATGTATAATTATACCTGTAATGTCTTCCTTGTTTAACAAATGACATTTTTCTGACTGGCTTAAGAATGTTGTGCTTGGGAAATGAGATTTTTCTTGCCTAGGCTGTGCTTTGTAATCCTAGCTGATCTACCACATTGACAAAATGTTGCTATCTAATGACTGGTAGGCTCTTTGTTTAGCTTTTGATGAACAGATATCTACAGAATAATTGTTTAAGATTCCCATAGTAAACAATATGGGCCACTTCTCCCCTGTCATCCAAATTTACACTAGTTGTTTCAGACCAGGTATACTAAGATACTGCTGAATCTTTTTTGCATCTTTGTGTGTGTTTCAATATCCTCCTGCTGAAGCTGGAGTATGGAGAAACCACCACAGACAAAGAAGGAAGGAAAAGGAAACCAGGCACGTAATTTTGTTTCCCATTACTGAGAATTGCAGTGCTGGCAGTTACTCTTGAATGCTTTTAGTGTTATTCAAATATCCTATTTCAATTAAGGATGAAAGCAGAACAGAGAAAGCCCATGCTATGATTACCTGTCCTTTCGGTTATAGGGGGTTGCCAACATTGTCTTGCATTTCCTACTAATTTAAGCAGACATCAAAAACATCTAAGCCAGAATTGTTTTTAGTATCTTCTCCTTCCTTATAAGGCCTTTTAATAGCAGGAAAGTATCTCTCTGTATGTTACACAACATCACTCTAGTTCAATAATAGATAATTATCTACATAATCTAATATGTTTTATGAAACAATTGTCTAGATGATCTTGTGTACATCCAAAAAAACCACATGTGGAAATCATACTCCTTAATTTTCCTCTGTGTTTGTTACATGGAACAGTTCCCTAGGTGATCTGGTATATAAGACATAATGTAAAAACGAAACAAAACCAACTTTTCTTAAGTGTGTGGAAATAATGTACACTTCCGTCTTCTTCTGGCTATGTAGATATGAGTAAAACGAAACATAGCCAGAATGTAGCTTAGAGGAAATCAGATGGGCATCTGAATTCAGCAACAAAGGATGGTTACATTGGAGAAAATTAAACCAAAAATAAGGAGGAAGAGCATGTCAAAAATCCAACTTTAAAAAATTGGCAGGTATGATTTTTGAAAGGATTTCAATCAAAGGTACAAAATAAATACCAAAGGAGCCCAAAATGTCCATACTTGGGAAGAAGGAATAATACTGTAATTTACTAGGTTAAGTGACATTTTAACTGCAAGGCATAATCATCCATGGTAACAGTTTACAGCCTAGGAATATACTATTATTTGTAATATCCTAATTTATATTTTTTCTGCTGTTTCTGTTATCTTTGTGTTGCCTTGCATTCAAACTGCAAAGTAATGAGAAGACAATTGAAATAGGAACAAATTAGAAGCAGTTACTCCAAGGAGGAAGCAGACTAAAACCAAACACAATTACTAGTTAACTGTGGGAAGTTGAACTGTGAGAGTGAATAAGAGGATCAGGAGGAAGTTGCTTTAAGAGAGGAAAACCACACGCAATCCACAGTTGAGGAAGGGCCCTGTTTAAAAGAGGAAGATATTAACAAGAATTGAAAACGGGGGCAGATGAAAGTGAAATCAATAAAGTAAAGTACATCCACTGATAACTTTAAAAAAATGACAATTGCATTAAATAGAGGGGAAAGTCCAGATAACTAAAACTCAAAAAAGTGCTAGTATGTTGTAATAAAGCAACAAGGACTGTTGTGGTGTCTTCAAGACTTACAAATGCATTACTATACTGGCATGTGCAGACTGCAGCTTACTTCATTAAATGAGTGAAGTGTTATCCTGAGCTACTTATCACATAAAGTGAATTCTAATCCATGAAAACTTCTACTATTTTTTTACTGATGAATATATAATAGTCCCATTAGGTTACCCCATGTTCATGTCACTAAAATGGGTCTTTCATCTCTTATGGAAAGTGAGTTTCCAACAAACAAATAAACAAGCCCATAGTCAAACACAGACAACATTGAATTCCTAACACAAATAGGAAGGTTTTTAGACTCAAAGGATATAAATATGAGGCATAATTAAACTTAAAAAGGCAGATAAAAGTTTTCCTTGTAATATGGTTAAATAAAATGTTCACACATACAAAAACCTCTGTGATGTTGGGACATTTGATTTCTTCTTTAGAAGCAAAGGTTCTGTTTATGTGCAAGGACATACAAAGACATATAAACAGCTACTTTTGAGCTTTTTGTATGTAGCTTTTGAACCAGGAGTCCAAGGTAAAGACACCCCTTCAACCAAGTCTCCTATTCTTCCTTCCTAAATGTAATCTTATGAAGGAGCTGTCCTACTTAATCCTTCATTTGCTGAGCAGTTTTTTTGTTGCCAGTGGCTTGCTGATGAATTATTGGAAAGGGGTGTCCTTCATGTGAAGGGACTTCTTTGTCCAGCAGAGTGAGAGTTGACTGTTTCTTTCTAGAACCATTGCCTAAAATGGTCTTCCTGCCTATGTAAAGGATGCAGAGCTACAGAATTAAATCCATCAGTGGATTATTGAAGGAACAGTAAGAAATAAAGTCATTTGCACAAGAGCTAAACTCTTAAGTGCTTATAGTTTTATTGTTTGTAGGGTGTTTTGTGTGTTGTCCTACCAATGATGGACTGTTCTGTAAAATAAAATAGCACCTAAAAGCTACAAATTAGAAGTCCTCAGTTCAGATGTCATCCATGCCTTCTACTACATGTGAAAAATAATTTTCACTTTACAGGAATAGGAGAGGTTTCAAGGTCATATGAGTAAAGTGCTTTGAAGCCTTGCACAAATTGTGTATTATTTTGATTGTTCGATCAATAATTGTGAGGTATATACTATAGTCAGTCATGAGCTACTAAAGTTAAATAAGTTTATTAGCTCTTGGAATATGGTGTTCTTTTCTTTCTGCTACATGACAGCCTTTTCTAGATTTTGGTTGAAAAATATTCTTTGGTTCTGGTGAAATACATCTTGCTTTTATTTCTTCAGCCACAAGAGTGTGCTCTTAATTCTGTTTCTCCCTCTCTTGCTGTTCAGATGGGTCCCATCAGCTTGCTTGTGATCGGAATAATTGCACTGCACTGTATGGATATCCTGGTTAAGTGTGCCCACCACTTCTGCAACAAGTAAGAAGAAATCTGAATTGTTGGTGTTTCTCAGCTTTATTTTCTTTTTCAGTGCCAGCCTCAAATGGAACATAAATTGAGCTGCATGGTATAAGATAAGATATGAGATAAGATGTGTGGACATAAAAGCCTATTCTCCTCTGTTAACTTAATAAATCTTTCTGAAAAATCAGATATAGCCAGTGTTTAATGCATGGAAGGGAATTCAATAAAGTTAAAATAAATCTGATTCCCACTCCTGTCATGTACAGCACTGCTGGCTTTGTGTGAAGAACTTTCTGACATCGATGATTTTCCATGGCTAAAGAAACAACAGTTGTAGGATGGTATAGCCCAGTATTTCCCAAACTCTTCTCTCCCAGGTGTTTTGGACTTCAGATTCCAGCATCTCTGATCATTGGCCAAAGCAGCTGAGACTTTGGGGAGTTGAAATTCAAAACCCTCAGAGGAATAGACTTTGGTGAATCACTAATTTAGTCAACAATATTGTGGTACATTCTGATCTCACATTATTCAAAAGGAATGGTGTATATTTCCATAACATGCTGTTCTCTAACCCATCTTTGAAGAGGAGGAAGACAATAGTCTGTACCGGTCTGAAATGTCTGTGAATGCTAACGTTTTGTCCTCCCTTTACATATGCCAGTACTTCAAGGAAATTAGTTACTTTTCTCCCCTTTTGCTTCTTTTTCTTAATAGACATCAGAAGCCATTTGTTGATTATGGTGATGCTGTGATGCATGGGCTGGAAGAAACACCCAGTGCATGGCTTCGGAATCATTCCATCTGGGGAAGGTACTTACCTTATATTTATATTGCAGGAGTGTGGATAGATTTGGATTGTAGGTCAGTGCAACTCATAGTGGTGGTCCCTGGACCAGTGCTGATTTCTGAGCCATTGGGTCTTGGTCCCTGGTGAGCTTCCAGGAGAGAAATAAAAATTGTAGTCTTCGGTCCCTGGCATGCTGGGAAAAATACTTGCTGATCCTCTTCATTAGAAAGCCTCAGAAACCCTGTTGTCATGATCTGTGCATGATATGAGCAGTCTTCAGCATCGTAGCTGGAAGGGGGTGGGGGTTTAGTTTAGTTGTGCACCTTCCATGGGAGACTTCAACTTACACAACCCTATCGTAAGTTTCCTTCGCAAAATCTATTCAGAGCAGATTTGCCACTGCTTTCATCTTGACTTAGCAAAAATTCACTCTGAGAGTTTCTGTGGCTGAACAGGATCTGAATTCTTGTATTTGGAGCCCTAATTTCTCTCAAATGACCATGTTGCTACAAATTAGTTTTAGGAAAATGGCAAATTGTTTTGTAAAGTTCCTGCATTTAAATCAACTTCCTCAATTGTAAAATAAATCATCTTTTGAAAGTTTTGTAGTAATTAACTTGGCAATCACGATAGTTGTCTTCTTGATATTGGATTCCTTCAACATTTTCATTATTATTTATGTGCTGTTCACATTTATGAGATAACTAGTCACGTCACATAATTGTAGAGATCCTATCAGATCCAGGGATTTGTGACGTAGCAAGGGGCTCTTAGCATTCCCATCCAGAGAGTTGCTCTAGTTCTGCCAAGCTGATTCTAAACCTGATTATAAAGGATTCCATAGGACACAGCCATGGCACTTAAAGTGGAATCATAGTGCTGCAATTGTGCAGGGTGAGCGGGTTCCTACAAAACAGGGAGGTGTTACTGGGATTTTGTGACACTGACACTCCTAAGGCCAGATTACAAAAACCTCCCAACCCTTCTTGGAGGGCATCTCATGGGTTGCTCCTAGGCTGTGAAATCCTATTCCTAGGAAGACTCTCTTGGGCTTCTCCCTGTTGCCTAGGCACTCACAAGTCAATAAGGTTTTATTTAGATGAGGTTTTGAAAGTTAATTAGGTTATTGCATCAAGGGCGTTGCCTTTTCAGAAGAAAATTAATTTGTTTTGATTTACAGTTTTAGTTAAAGTTTTGTTTCTAACAATTAGGCACTTAAAGGGGCTAACAATAAACTGAATCTACTAAATAAACAATCAGAACAATTTGTATTGAATTACACTGTGGAATACCATTGGTAATGTAGAAAAATTGACCTTTCTGTTACCATCAATGGCACTATGTAGATTCACAATAAACACTTTGTTTAGTTTTATTTACCATTTTCCTCCTCTTGCATGCTAGTTTTTTTGTCATTTTGTTAGCATTCAATATTTATTGTTGTTGTTGTTGTTGTTGTTGTTGTTGTTGTTATTATTATTATTATTATTATAGTTCATTATACCTCAAAGCAGCTTGACATAAAAGCATTGATCTACTATTAAAATATACAAATATGCAACCATTAAAACAGGATTAAACACAAATAGCACTAAAAAATTCACAGTTAAAATCCATCAAGACATATTCAAAAATTAAAAACCACAGCACCCCCTAACTAACACCTTCATCTTTAAAAGTCTTCCTGAATAGAAAGGTTTTAGCCTGCCACCGGAAGTACAGCAGGGAGGGGGCCATTCTGGCTTCCCTGGGCAGGGAGTTCCAGAGTTGAGGGGCAGCCACTGAAAAGCCCCTGCTCTCTCATTCCCACCAATTCTGCTTGAGATGGAGGTAGGACTGAGAAAAGGGCCTCTCCTGAAGATCTCAGGGTCTGGGTAATTTCATCCAAGGGGATGCAGTCAGCCAAATAGCCTGGACCTAGGGCAGTGGTTCTCAACCTGTGGGTCCAAGATGTTTTGACCTAAAACTTCCAGAAATCCTAATAGCTGGTAAACTGGCTGGGATTTCTGGGAGTTGTAGGCCAAAACACATGGGGACCCATAGGTTGAGAACCACTGATCTAGGGCTGTGGAGCTGCTGCAAAAGGGGGAATGTCCGTTTTCTGTATCCAGCCCCAGTTAGTAGTCTGGCTGCAGCTCTTTGGACCCCTCTTCATAGGCAGCCTCATGCAGTGCATGTTACAGTAATCCAGACATGATGTAACTAAGATGTGTACCACCGTGGCCAGATTTGGCTTCTTAAGGAGTGGGCACAGTTGGTGCACAAGTTTTAATTCAGGCAAAGATTTTTAACTGTGAGGGCTAGAAATTGTTTGTTCTTATTTTTAACTAGCCGTACCCGCCACACATTGCTGTGGTTATGTTAATACCACAAACGAACATTACATTTTTATTTATATAGATGAATGTGTACATTCCAGCAGTATTTCTGAAACCTGAATTTGAATATTTCTCACAAGTCAGCTTGTTTGTTGTGATTATTATCCTAACCTGTATTTTTTTAATGTTTAGATACGTAGTGGGATTTTTCTTGATTCTTACTCAGCTGGGATTCTGCTGTGTGTATTTTGTTTTCCTGGCTGACAATCTGAAACAAGTAAGTTTGAAAATAGTGTAATGTGGCCTGAAGTTTGTAGACAGTTTTGGGTAGAATTGTGGAGTTTGGGAGTTATTCTGATTTAAGTATTTTGGTCATTGCTATAAAGAGTAAGAAACTATTAGGCTGAGAAGGGGTTAGTGTCCATCATCTGAGCTGACCAAGCTAGCAAAGAGACATCCATTTGTGTTTTTTAAAAAATGAGAGGCTTAGCTATAATATATGAAGTTTGAGGCCTTACAAATCTACTGTCCAATGTCATGTATTATGATTATCTTGTCCTGGATTGGAGCAGAAGTGGGACATAATGGTTATATAGTAACCAACAGATACAGTACAGTCTGTACAATCACAAAAATACTATGTAAATGCCAGTAAACTCATATTCACAGTTTTATACTTTCAAGCCATGGTGGACAAGAATAGGATTGTGTTGCTCCCATGCAGGAGGGACTCCTCCTCCTGCCAGCAGCAGTGTTGTATAGTCAGTTGCACTTCTGAGAACAAATCATGTCTTCTTCGTGCACTTGCTTTTAAAGTAGGAGTGGAAGTTATGTGGCTCTCCAGACATTAGGTGCATCTACCGTGTAGAATTAATGCATCCTGTGGTTTTACAAGCTCTTTAGCCTTTTTTGCCAAAAAGTGCTGGTGCCTCATCTAACTCCAGTTCCCATGAGTTCATAGCATTGAGCCATTCCAACTAAAGTGGTACCAAACTATATTCTACATTGCCGATGCACCCATAGTCAAGCTACAACTCCCCAGCATTCTTCACTGTTGGCTATAACTCAGTCCAACAGAACTGTATGACTCATATTCCTGTTCTAAGGTTAAAGTATGGGGTGGAGGCTAGTTTCTGTAGTGCCACCAAAATCTGTTGGTGTGGTGACACATTTGATGGGAGTAAGCCAATCCCAAGTGCCGTGACAGATGATGTTGGCTTACCTTGCTGTAAAGTCTTGAGAAATTTCAACAGAAAGGTGGAAACCATGACAATGTACAAAATCTGGCTACCAGTATTTTAAAAAAAAACAAAACTCTAAAATCAGGACTGTAAATAAAGGGCAACATTCAAAAAGCAGGGGAATTCTAGAGAAGTATCTATCAGGGCCAGCTAACATTTCCCAACAAAGGATCCCCCCAGGCAGGAGGCAGCCAGGCTTTGAAGCGACAAGGCAATCAAATGCTAATCAAGATGGTAAACTGCAACATTCACACTTGCCTCAAGCAGACAAGAGTTCTTTCTCCCACCCTGGACATTCCACAGATATATAAACCCAACTTGCCTAGTTTCCAACAGACCTTGCAACCTCTGAGGATGCCTGCCATAGACATGGGCAAAATGTCAGGAGAGAATGCTTCTGGAACATGGCCATACAGCCCAGAAAACTCACAGCAACCCAGTCTTGAGTAACGTTTCATAATCTGTTACTGATGACAGCACGTCATTATTGAAGATAACATTTTGGTGTATAAAACCTGATAGTGGGTTTATTGGGTTATTCTTTAACTTCTGGATAGTTCAATACGGTCTACAGATTGGAAGCTGGCTAGAGGTTTCCTGATCTTTTGGCATTGTCTCTTTCTTATAAGAACAGTCTTTATGCCATAAAGTTTATGACAATACCTTTCCATTGAGATTGTACCCTCATAATGTGTTTCCCTCCTCACGTTCATAGCTTCTCGCACTGTTTACAATAATGCCTTTAAGATAAGATTAGATTGTAATTAAATTACTGCTGTGGGGTTATCACGTGCATGTGGCAAATCCATTAAGCCAATTTTAGGATATGGCTGCGTTTAAATAATTCAGTGTGTAATTCAGATCCAGCTAGGCTAGATTAAAATTAATTTATTGCTGCTTAATGGCTTCTCAAGAACTTAAATTTTTAATACTAAATTTTATGCTTTCTTTTTGTTTAATTCATCACAGTTTTAGGGTTTTAACTATACTTGCCTCACAACAACCGCATTCTCATGCACCATGATTTAAAAAAAAATGGTCAGAGCTGGGATTTATTTGTAGAATGAGTTCACTGGATACAGAGGAGAAGGGGATGCGGCATGATAGAATCCAGTCCAACCCTCTGCTAGAAGCAGGAAAATTGCATTCAAAGCATCCCTGACAGATGGCCATCCAAAAGAATTTACTTTTAAATTGTTGTCTGCAATCCAGTAAACTGTTAGTTGCTTTTAGTTGGTCTGTATCTCTTAACATCAATCTCCTTTGAACACTAATAAACAAAAGTGCCTTCATTTCATCGGTGAACATCAAGAATGAGCAAAATGCAGCCTTGAGTCCCACAGAATCATAGAGTGGGACCAATCAGCCATGCTGTAATAGGCAACTAAACACTCCCAACAGATGGCCTTCCAGGCTCTTAAAAAAAACTATAGAAAAAGCGATTCCAGCACAGTCCAAGGTAATATGTTCCACTGTTGAACAACTCTTACTGTCAGGAATTTCTTCCCCATATTCAGGTGCAGTCTCCTTTCCTGCAGAATTGCCCCCCTGACCTCTTTAGATTCCCTGGACTACTTGCATAAAAAAACAACAACAGCATAATAATTGTTTTCTTATTGAAATTTCCTTCACCAAATTTGTTGCAGTGTTCAGAGGCACATTGGTTGCTACATTCAGAGGTGCATTGCAAGCAGTGTTCCTCTTCATCGTTTAATATTTTCAAAAGTCTGTTAGAAATGAATGTCCAGCTATCTGCATTTTTGTGAGGGGTTTTTTTGGGAATTGTCGTGCCCACTGGCTTGTCCTATGGGAGAAATGAATCTCCAGCTGCGGTTGCTCATCCCTTGTATAGATGCCTTACCTGTGTGAACAGTTCCTTTTTGGCTCTGATGGCTCTTCCAGAAAGGTCCTATATCCCAGGATATGATTCCAGGTTTTCTGTTTATACCAGAGTATCAGCCAGTGGGAGCTTAAAGCAGAAAACCTGGGATCAGGTCTTGGGTATAGGGCATTTTTGGAAGGGTCTTGAGAGACATCCATCCCCATTTATCTACCTGAACTTCCAATTTTCTTTCAAGCCTTTCTACCAAAACTTATGTTTATGTTGAACACATGTTGGAAGTGCATAATACAACTTGGCAGTTTCCTGTTCTGATTCAGATGTCAATCCTTGTGATACTGTCTTTGAAGATGCAGCTAAAGGGACCATCAGAGTTAGTTTTGATAAATAGGACAGTGGAGAGATCCTTTTAAAAAGTGTAGCTATAAGGACCACAGCCCTGCTTGAGGAGAGAACTGTAACTACCTCTTCTTCGAAACTTTCTGGTTCCTGCAACTTCCCAAGTTCTGTTTCTCCATATGTGCGTGTCTGCATACGTGTGTGCTGCGAAGTCACTTGTGAATTCGGAGCAACCCCATAAATTTCACAGGGTTTTCTTGGGTAAGGAATACTTAGAAGTGGTTGCCATTGCCTTTCTCTGAAATATAGCCTGATATTCCTTGGTGTTACCCCATCTATATAGTAACCAGGCCTGACTCTGCTTACCATTTATTTATTTATTTATTTATTTATTAACTTTATTTGTACCCTGCTACCATCTCCCCAAGGGACTCGGTGCGGCTTACATGAGGCCAAGCCCAAACACAACAATACAGCAATAAAACAACACACAATTAAAAACGGGGGGGGGGGGGGGGGTCAAATGTAATGTTAAAATTGGAAATTTTACCATCTAAGGTCAGATGGGATCAGGCGCCTTCAGGATATTTAGGCTTCTGTTTCTATATAGTGAGCAATTGTAACTTCTTACCAGTATGTAAAGTACTATTGAATCTTTTTGAACTAGTATATATGCCTGAGTTGTTGAGTTACATTTGCAAGGAAGATAAGAAAGCACAACTTTTATTCAGTTCTGATATTACAGTGTAGCTGCCACATGGATTTTAGAGTACAATTGTGTGTAAGCAGTCTTGGTTTCTTATAATTTCATGATTTGAATTGAACAATTTAATCTATTATCAATTGCATTCTGTTATCCTATGCAATGTTGCTTCAACCACAAGCAATAAAAAGCCTGCTGAAAATCTATTTTTCCTCATGAATCCCTAGGTGATATCAGCTGCTAATGGTACTACCAACAACTGCAATGCCAATGAAACTGCGCTGTTGGCACCAACCATGAGCTCCCAGTTATACATCCTCTGCTTGTTGCCATTTGTGGTACTGCTTGTCTTCATCCAGAATCTCAAGATACTTTCCATCTTCTCCATGCTGGCCAATCTTCTCATGCTTAGCAGCCTGATCATGATATACCAGTACATCGTCAGGGTATGTACAAATGTCAGTCTGGAAGTAGTAACATTTAGAAATGTTGGCAACAGTGATTCTATTTATAATGGTCTGTTTTATTAATAGATAAGGCATTGAAGCTGTTGTGGCCCCAAGGTGGGGTTCAGTGGATGAAGCATGTTTATTAATATATCACCATCAATGCACACAAAGCTGGCCTGGGGAAATTTTGAAAAAGAAGGGTTTCTGCATTCCACAGATAGCATTTTAGATTTAAACTGGAACAGAGGAGGGACAAACAAGGATATCAGCAAGAGTACTTTCAGGTGCCCCTTGTGTAAAACTTGCATATTGCATATCAATCAATCATCAATCAAACATTTATATTCTGCCCCATCTCCCCATGGGATCTCTTGGTGGCTTACAACATCAAAGGCAAACATTTAATGCCAGAAAAATAAGCAGTAAGTTAAACAATACAGATAAATAATATAAAGCATTCAATTGTAAAAAACCACATCACAATAAAATACCAGTAAATTTCACAGCATTAATAAAAACAGAATTAAAAGCCATATCCATTGTATATTCCGTATTTGGTAAGGCCAAATCTTCAAACATTTGGCTCTTCATATTCTTGGGAGCATAGGAAGGTTTTTAGTTGCTTCCTGAATAAGGGCAGCATGGGGGCCATTCTGATCTCCTTCCAGAGATGGGGCTGGGCGATTGCAAAGAAGACCCTCTCTCTCGTTCCCACAAGCCGGAGTTGTGATGGAGGTGGGACCAAGAGGAGGTCCTTCCCTGATGAACACCATGTCAGGGCTGGTTCATATGAGGAGAGGCAGTTGGTCAAGTAGTCTGGACCCAAACCATTTAGGGCTTTAAGGTAACTACCAGGACTTTAAATTTTGCCTAGTAGCAAACTGGAAGCCAGTGGAGCTGCTGTAACGTGGGAGTTGTTCTCTCCCTGTACGGTGCTCCCTTTAGTAACCTGGCTCTTGACTTCTCGACCAGCTGAAGCTTCCAAGCGCTCTTTAAAGGCAGTGCCACATAGAGTGCATTGCAGTAGTCCAGTTGAGATGTAATTAAGGCATGTACTACCATGGCCAGATCTGACGTCTCAAGATACGGGCGCAACTGGCACCCAAGTTTTAATTGTGCAAAGGCACTTCTGGCCACCACCAACACCTGAGGCTGCAGGGTCAGCGATGAGTCCAGACAGCTTGACATCTCAGAAGGATTGTGCCCGAGAAACAGGGGAGTCACTTCCAGCCTGTGTAGGTTTAGGTGAGGTGAGTTCCTGGTTTAGGTGAGTTTGACTCAATGTTAAGGCAGCTGCCTGTTGTAACTCTCCTAGGCAAGTGCTGACCCATTTCACTCTCAAATCTAAACTCTCTATCTTCCTGTTTTTTACCAGGATATTCCAGATCCCACCCATTTGCCTATGGTGGCCCCATGGAAGACGTTTCCTCTGTTTTTTGGCACAGCCATTTTTGCTTTTGAAGGCATTGGAGTGGTAAGTCTTGCTCTGCGTATACATTTAGTTTACTTGGCTAGAGATGCACAAGAATTCAGTTATTTTGGGACAACTGTTCCTTGGTTAATTGTGGATTTAGGTGGATAGGTTTGTCAGGCCAATGACTTCAGACAGAACCCTAACCATGTGTCCTACCTGAAACCTCCTTCCTGCTTGAGCTTCAGACTTTGAGGGGAATCCACACAACGTTTTGCAGTGGCTTGATAAGCTTTGATCTCAGTTTAACAGTGGTTTGGTAAAAATACCAAATACTTTTAGAATGACCTTTTATAGATTAAAATTCTTATCTGAAAGTGCAAGTTATAACACCAAACTGTTGGGGTGAGTGAACTCACATTAATATTTCTGTACTTTTGAGACATCTTAAATGTCTTGCAGGAGAAATAAGTGGAGTAAAAATGGAAACATTTGATCTAGCCAGTCCTTTTGTGCTTTCTCTTTTCTTCTCTGGTGATTCACCTTTTTATTTTAAGTGGTTCAAGTTCATTTTTCTATCATTCCAACTTGGCTTCCCCATGTCACTCTGAGAATTATTAGTTGGGGATGCATTGCATCCAGAACAGGGAAGGCAGTAGCTTTGTTCTGCACCTCGGTTTATTGAGTTCAGTTGATTTATCTAGTTAATATGTTTTTTTATATCCCACTATTTCTCTCCATATGCAGACTCAAAGACTCAAAGCGACTCACAACAAAAAGCATTTCAATGCAATTTCAAATATACAAATATTAAACCAGTATTGGACAACATTAATATTAAAGCAATCCAGGTTACAGCCATAAAGCATATAAAATCGCATCACAAAATCATAGCAGCCCTTGATGGCCTTAAACACCTTCATCTTTAAAAGCCCGCCTGAATAAAATGGTTTTAGCCTGCAGCCAGAAGGACAGCAGAGAGGAGGCCATTTTGGCTTTCCTGGGCTGGGAGTTCCAGAGTCGAGGGGCAGCCACATAGAAGGAAGTCCTGTTTTCCCATTCCCACCAATCATGCTTGTGATGGGAATGGAACTGAGAGAAGGGTCTCTCCTGAAGATCTCAGGGTCCAGGCAGGTTTCTATAAGGGGATGCGGCCAGCCAAATAGCCTGAACCTGAACTGGTCATAACCAGTTCAACAGAGGGGTTGTCCGCTTCCTGTAGCCAGCCCCAGTGAGCAACCTGGCTGCAGCTCTTTGGACCAGCTGAAGTTTCTGAGCACTCTTCAGAGGCAGCCCCACATAGAGTGTGTTACAGTAATCCAGACGGGATGTAACTAAGGCATGTACCACCATGGCCAGCTCTAGCTTCTCAGGGAACGAGTGCAGTTGGTGCACAAGTTTTAATTGTACAAAGGTCCTCCTGGACACATCTGCCTCTAGGTGCAGTACCGAGTCCAGAAGGACTCACAAACTGCAGACCTGTGCCTTTAGGGGGAGCGTGATTCCACCCAGCACAGGCTGGATCTCCATTCCCTGGTCTTCCTTACAAAAGACAGGAGTACCTCTGTCTTGTCTGGATTAAGTTTCAATTTGTTTGCCCTCATCCGGTCCATTACTGATGACAGACACTAGTTTAGGGTCAGGAAAACTTTCTTGACTTTAGTTGGAAAGGAGTAGTAGAGTTGGGTGTCATTTGCATATAGGTAACACTGAACTCCAGGACTCCAGATGACCTCTCACAGTGGTTTCGTGTATATGTTGAGCAGCTAAACATACCCTTCTCCCTAAGCCATTCATCATAGGGCTTGGCTTACAAAACTTTTATAGCTTGTCCCTGGCAAGAACAGGCCTGGTCTGCCTTACAACTGATCAGGAGTACCTCTGTCTTGTCTGGATTAAATTTCCATTTGTCCTCATCCAGTCCATTACTGATGACAGACACTATGGTCAGGGCAGCTTCCTTGGCTTTAGGTGGAAAGGAGTAATAGAGTTGGGTGTCATCTGTATATAGGTGGCACCAAACTCCAAAACTCCAGATGGCCTCTCCCAGCGGTTTCGTGTGTATGTTGATCATCTAAACATACCCTTCTCCCTAAGCTGTTCCTCATAGGGCTTGGCTTCCATGGCTTTTACCATTTTGGTTGCACTTCTCTGGACATGCCCCAGCTTGTCTCTAGCAAGAGAAGGCAGAGAAGAAATGAAAAGCAGTTTTGGGTAAACTTATAGAGAACAGCGATCTGTATAGGGAATTTGGGGAACTGTAATTCAAAACATTTGCATTTTCTGAACTCTGCCAAAAAAAGCAATCAGGGCAGGGAGATTGCTTTAGTTGTGCAGCACTCTGAAAGTTGATCCTTTGAGCACTTGTAAATAAGGAAGAGGAAAGAGGATGTGTGGATGGAATCCTACTTAACTACTGTGCTGCACTCTTTATTGAGCTACTGTTCAAACATAAAAGTCAAAGTTCATTCGGATATCAGAATTGTTAGAGAAAACTGTGCACATTATTGCAGTAATCTTTATAGGTGGTAAAGCTGTGTGTACTGTGTGTTCGGGCAAGGTTAATGAAGGTACCATCTATGAAGGCGAAGTGATTAAATGTTTTCTCTGGTTTCATATTACTTTTCCCCCTGGAGTAGTATGCATATTTTATTTTGTTTATATCCCACCTTTCTCCAATATGAGATCTAAGGTTGGATGTGACTTTTCAAAAGCACAATATAATTAAAAAGCTTTCAGTACACAATTTAAACCAAGCGTCTGTTGTGAAAACCCTGGATAAGAAATCTGGGGAAACCAGAGACTGTTAAAAAGACAAATGCATGATCCCTAGAACAAATCAGATTTGAACTTCTGTCTAGAAGCCAAGATACAAAATTGGGGCTGTCATACTTTGGTCATGTCATGCAAAGACATAGTTCACTAGAAAAGGCAGTAATAATTGGTAAAGTGGAAGACTGCATTCCAGATGATTCAGCTTAATCAAGGAGGCCATAGCTCTGAGTCTGCAAGATCTGAATAGGGCTGTTGGGGGTAGGTTGACTTGGAAGTCTCACATTCACAGGACCAATATAAGTCATCATAATCAACCCAAAGACATATAACAACAACACCACAGTTTTCCCTCTCTGTATGTTTGATCTAAAATGTATTTGGTGTACCAGTGTTGAAAATATATTATAAATAAACTGACTGGCGATGTTCTCATTAAAGTTTAAGGGCGCTATATATTTTTTATCTTTAAAATGTAGAAAAACAAGGTCATGACATCTCATCTAATAAATATTTGTACAAGCTATTATCTTAATTGTGCAATAGCTTGTGAAGCTAGTTTAATAGCCTCATAATAGGCGCTAGCTTTTCATGAGTACCAGTTTCCCATCTGAGTGAATTTTTCACATACAGTTGTATTGCTTGGAACTGGGTGGAAAGATACAAGAAATTTTGAATGTGGTTGTTAATTACTATATTTCATTGCATAATAGTCACCACCATATAATAGTTGCACACTCATTTTCTTGGTGCCCGGATTGGTATTTTTCACTTTCTTCACATAATAGTCACATCCTTGATTCATCACCCAATGTAGTCCTGGCAGATGAGAAGACCAGCATGCAGTGTAGCTATTGGAGGAAGACAGCTTTGCCCATCTGTGGTGAAGTGTGAGTTTTAATCTACAGTTATGTATAATTATAGATAGGTGTTTAAAAGGGTAAGTATATAGAATGGCATAACTGGGGGATGGTAGCCAGCTTAGCTCACTTTGAGCTGAGTTGCCATGGAAAAAGGGGCGGAGCCAACTGCCACTTAGCAGGGCAGCCATTTTAAAACAGTCTGTAGTCAGCGAACTACAGGGAAGGCTGGTTCTGTTGTGTGTTGAGAACCAGTAAGGTCGTTCGTAGTCTAAGAACTACAGGAAAAGGCTGATTCCACTGTGTTGAGAATCAGGAAGGTTTTGGCTTTTAGCCTGTGAGGTTTAGATAGGTCAAGTTGACTTATTTAGATTAGTGGTTAGTGTATGAGTAAAAAGAGTGAGAGAACCCTAATAAGAATATTTACTGCAACAGAAATAACATAAGGAAAGAATAAGCTTGTACCTGAAGCAATCTGTTAAAGAAAGAAACATACTTTGAAGGAAAATAAGTTTGAAACCTGTTTAGTGGAAGGAATAGTAGTCTCAAGAGTTGTTTTATGAAATGTTATAAATGTAACCTCTCTCTGAAGATATGTGCCTCTAAGAGATAAGAAACATTGAAACCATCAAGCTTCTTCTATACTACAATAAACTTGTTACAATTTCTTCTAAAGCCAAGTCTCTGTTACAAATACTTTCAAGATAAACCACGCTACACATTGAAGAAAGCACAAATTAATGTCACAAGCTATTGGTTGTGTTATCAATTTAATAAGTCCTTACAAAGTGGTAGCTCCTTTACAAACCGTTACAAATTGGTGGCACCGTTACAAACTGGGTGCCATCTTTACAAATTGGTGGCCTCTTTGCACCATCCATCTGCCCACTTTCAGCAAGGGTGCTTGATTCATTCACTCACCTGCTTACCACACTCACCTGCTTGCTCTCTTCAACCCAGTGCTTTTGGACTCAGCCGCTGTGAAGCACTGTGCCTAAAAGGCAGGTGGGAAGGCAAGTGAGTGAATGAAGCACCTTTGTTAAAAGGGGAAGGATGGGCGAGCAAAGCTGCTATTTATGAAGTGCAATGAGACATGTGGAAGCCTAGCTAAACTGTTTACTGCGTAATAGTCACACCTCCTTTTCTTGATAAAAAGAGGATAAAATAGGGTGACTATTATGCAATGAAATACAGTATTTTTATGTTTTAATTATCTTGTGTGTTTTCACGTTTTGCTCATAGCCTAGTAAAGCTACTATATAAATACAAATATTAAAGCTGTCTTTAAGAAAGTTTGATGTGAAAAAAGTAGATTGGCAAGTTTAGTTATTCATGTGAGGGTTTTTTTTGGTTTGCTTTTGTATCATTCTTGGTATTAATATATGTCCATTATAATGGATAGCCAACATTTTAAGTCATAGGGAGCCGCTTCTTTCCACCACACATAATAAAAAATCAAACTCACTGTTACACAGGATAAGTATAAAAGTATTTTAAAGATTAAGCAGATAACCATTGAATTTGTCACTTGGAAGCTAAGTGATTATTGATAAAATGAATCATTTGTACTACTACCTATAGTATGTATTATAGAATGCTGGGTATATCTAACAGATATTTGATAGTGTGAAAAGATTTATTTATCATCTGGGTGAACAACGACAAGACCAGATTCTGGTCAAACCTAATAGAAGTACTTTGGTGAAGATGTGAGAGAAGACGTTTATGACATCTGCTTCTTGACTATGGAATTTCTTCCAAAAAAGGCTAAGCTCTCCACCCCTCTCACCATTTCACCAGGGGTCAAATACCTTTCTCTTCATGCATTTTTTCAGAAGTAGTGTGGGGCAGCCAAGGACATCTCCCAAGGTTGAGATCTGAGGGAGCTTCCAAAATAATTAAAAACGAGTACAATTTTAAAAAAACAAACAAAAAAAACTAAAGTTTGTGATTTGTTTTCTTCACTAAGGTACTCCCTTTGGAAAATAAGATGAAGAACCCACAGCAGTTTCCTATCATTCTCTATGTGGGAATGGGGATTGTTACCACACTCTACCTCAGCCTGGGAGCCCTGGGATACTTACGCTTTGGAGCTAACATCCAAGCCAGCATTACCCTCAATCTACCTAACTGTTGGTGAGTTGGAACAATAGGCCCTCTATTAGCATGATGGCAGATATGGGGTGGGGCTACATATCACTCATGGGGTGATTTGGAATGGAAATGCACACAGATGGATGCTGAAGGTTAAGAAGCCCTTTGTATGTGTATATGAAGTCTCTTCATGAATTCAGGTAGTTTAAGGGTCATTCTTGTGGGAAGTGTTTGCTACCTCTGCTTTCCTGTATTGTGGTGATAGGCATGGTTTATTAGCAGTAGCATGTGTATAATTGAGGACTTGCTTGTGTCCAAAACAGATGATAAAAATCAGAGAGGCCTGTAAATAATTGGGTGTGGTAGGACATATTGTACCAAAAAAAGGCCGCTTTCACTTGAGGACATACCTTTTGGCTTACAGTTGCCTGGACAGAGCGGCCAAACCCTTTAATTGCATGGTGTCATCTTGTTTTTGTAAATGACTTGTGCTGGATTCACCGTCTGTTAAAAACTCTTCCTCATGGTTCTGTAGCTCTGGAACTATGAGTTGTCAAATATTATGCCTAAGTATCCTAAAGTTATCATTTGCTGTCTGATCTTGGAATCTAAGCAAGAGCAGCTCAGTTAGTACTTGGATGGGTGATCATCATCAAATACTGGATGCTGTAATCTATCTTTTAGGGGAAAGAACCAACTCTTTCTTGCTTATGAAACTCATTGGGTCACCATAAGTAGACAGGTAACTTGAAGGTGTGTGTATAACACGTTGCAACACACACATTGCAACACATTATAAGGCACCAATATGGCCTCAGCAGAAAGTTCAGAAATTATGATTATATGGTTATTGTAGTCTGGGCTGCAAGTAGTAATCTTGCAGTTTTGATCAAATACTGACAGAAACTAAATTGATTGATTGTTCACTTATGCCTATGATGCGTTGTTTTTTATAGGTTCCCTGGGCAGGGAGCAGTGTAATATCAGATGCCCTACCCATAGTGTCATTTGCTCATTTGTGGTGATCCATTTGCTTATTTCATTATGGAGAATAATCTCAATTGTAGTATGTTTTTGTGGCTTCCTGAGTTCTTTCCTCTCCTTTGGGGAAAAAAAGTTCTGCTACTTTATTGAACTAACAACCCAGTCTTGTCCCCAAAAACAGTCAATATGTATGGACTGATTAGAAAATACAGTTGCCTGGGAACACTACATTCAAGTAAAGGTATAATGGCAGGTTTCACCTGTTACTTTCCCTTCATGGTGGATGGGAGAGATGCTCTCCTATAAGGTAATTATGCTGGATTGATTTGTTGGGGTGGAATATTGGAAGAGTTTTCCCATCTTAATTAATCTGTGCAAAATCTGAATTCTCTGTGTAACCCTGAGAAGTTGTTTTAATAAAGGCTGGCTTTCAGATGGACTTGATTCCTGTATGAAAGATATTTCACCACTGATTGCCCTATCAGAAGTTCTTTCAGATTTTGCTTATTATCTGTGTTCTTATCACTCACACCTATTATAACTGGAGTTATAGGACTCCCTAATGCCTTTCTTTATTCTTGAACATGTTGCTTCATTTTAAAGTCCCCTGGAAGTGAGGACTAATAATTTCCAAAGTGCTTTGAAGATGGAAATGCGAAGTATCACATCATGTTAACCATGCACATTTCAGGTTGACACAGAGTTCATGATTAATCAGGGCCCATCACTTGGAGAAACTCTTCAAAATCAAATGTGTCTGCGCTGTGTCACTTGTTATTTAGCAAGTGGCTTTAGGTAGTTGATGCTACCTGTAGCATACAAACCACGATTTGGTCTTGAAGCCAGCGGTTTAAAGGCAAGCCCAGATAAAAATCTGGGCTTGCCTTTTCTGTGCATATACCGATGAAATTTTAAATAGCTTTGCTATAGTGCAGTGGTTCTCAACCTGTGGGTCCCCAGATGTTTTGGCCTACAACTCCCAGAAATCCTAGCCAGTTTACCAGCTGTTAAGATTTCTGGGAGTTGAAGGCCAAAACGTCTGGGGACCCACAGGTTAAGAACCGCTGCTATAATGGGTCGCAGACAGAGCTTTCTCTTGACTAAAGCTATTTGCCTCTGTGTCACCCTTTTTATTTTTTTATGTGCTCCTTTGCAGGATTCGGGTGGGGTGCTTACCTAAAGCAAATGGTGGCTCCATTCATTTAAAAAAATGCCTTTTGCAATAACAGTAATTGCACAATTGTTTTATTATTTGACTATGCTTCATTAGTTAACTCTTGTGAAATAAGAACCCATAGTTTCAATTGAAGCCAAAATGCATAAAAACAAACTACTTGCTAAGAGCTAGTTCAGCAGCAATAACTTATTTCAGTGCCTTGTCTGAAATTACTTTGCTGCAGCATATCAACCTTCAGAAGATTGTCTCAAAACATCAAAATGTCCCTTCCATTAACTTTTCAAAGTTACCATTTTTATATAACACACTTCCTTTCCTGCACCCTTCCCTCTACGTAAACCTGCTTTCTGTGTAGCTCCCAAAATAACTTGCCTTTGAGTCAAGCTGGTGAAAGGGCAAGCAGTTGTGACGTCAGATTTGCCTAGATGTTTCACCAGTGCCAATGTTGGCAACTGTGCGGCTGTGGGGGAGAGGGAGTAATCAAAAACTGTGAAATACTGGTATTCATGACTGAAGCTGATAACTGCTTTGAAGGTATGCTTCAGCACTTTTTTTTAAAAAAAAAGGAAAACAAAATTAGAATACAATCATGCTTATTAAAAGGATTGGTTGAAAATATTTATTTAATCTCTTTGTAAAAATATGAAATACAGGGTTTTTGGGTTGTTGATGTAAGACAGGTTGAATATCTCTTCTCCAAATTGCTTGGTTCCAAAAGTGTTTTAGATTTCAGATTTCTTCAAATTTTGGAATTCCTGTGTCTATACATATAGATATGAATACACACACACACACAATAAGATCCAACTCTAAGCATGAATTTCATTTATGTTTCATATGCACTTTATATGCATAGTCTGAAGGTCATTTTATACAACATTTGAAAACATGTGTGTGCAAGTTTGTGTACATTGAACATCAGGAACAAAAGGGTCACTATGTGAACAATTTTGGAATATTTTAGATTTCAGAATTCCAGATCAGATATGCCTAACTTGTTTAGATTTTCCAGGCCCTACTATCAGGGGATAAACAGTAGACCCTTGCTATCTGCTGAGGTTTGGTTTCAGAGCCCCAATGGATACTGAAATCTGTGGATGCTCAAGTTATATACAGTGGTATAGTAAAATAGCATTCCTTTTATAAAATGGAAAACTAAATGTTTGCTTTTTGGTAATTCTTTTTTTCTCCAGAGTAGAGGGATATTTTAAAGCCACGGGTGGTTAAAGCCATGGTTAAGGAAGTCCGACTGTATTGCAAAAGAATATAGTGGGCTGTCCTTTAATGAACAAGATCATTGACTTATACATCCTGGTCCTGTCATCTGAGGTTGACTGTGGTGCTCCAGCATTTCAGAGTGATATTTATTTATTTATTTGACCACTCATATGACCATTTCAAAACACAACACAAGTAAAAGACAAGGCAAAAAGGAGAAGACAGCAGCAGAATCTTATTTTCCTGGTATTTCAGAGTGGTTTTCCACAGCTCGTACTGAAGACACAGCTAATTTATCCCAGGATCTCTTATATGAAATACATATGCTCTGCCACTGGGTTACAGCCCTGCCTCTTTCATTACCCTGAATAATTAGTGCCTAGCAAGTAAGCCTCCAATTTTCCAGGGAAAATGGTGATGAAAATCAAACCAGAACACCCTCCCAACCATGGTGGTTCACATCAAACCCGGAAAATGCTTTTTCCCTCAAAGCTTTTTTACCTCCAAAAGCAAATGAAAAGAGCAATGATTTCAAGGTCACTGCTCCAGAAAGCAGTCACTTTTCTTCCTGTTTCATAACAAATGAACTGGTGTAGCATCCAGTTTCTGAAAGTAGTTAACCAGGTCACTTTGAGTAGTACAGAAAGAAGACATATGAGCAAAGACCCTTTCCCACTGCCTTCCCAGTACGTTTCTGCGAATGATGTCATCTCATTTTGTAGTTATGATGGATCCTGTCAACACAATCCTGCTGGGTTGTGCCATGTCCTGTTGTCACAACATTTCTATTTTATAATGAAGTTTTAGCTCCCTAATATCTGCATTCTTCCACAGTCATTCTCAAAATGTTGCTTCCTATAGCCTTTTTGAGGGGGACTCAGGAGAAGGTGGAAGTTAGGTTTGCTTTGGGGCAACATGGTCTGTGGGGGAGTCATTTAGAGGAAAATTGGGCCATGTCCCTGCACAAGCACCCCTTCCATTTTAAGGGATTGTTGTTTTTTTGTTTTTTTTAAGTCTCCACTTATATAAAGTAAGTACATAGCTGGAGTCTCTCACCACTGGAGGTAGGATGGGAGTACTTTTTAGTCCAAAGCCTCTGCATCACTGGAAAAAACTGTTCCCAGTGTCTACGTCCAACCAGAATCTTTGACTGCCTAGAATAGTTGAAGTTGTACTTAGTTTTGAAGAACAACTTCAGTAGTTGTCAGGTCACTCAAGGACAAGCAGTTCTTCAGTCTCCGTCTCCTTGACTCTGTAAAATACATGATCTACCCTAGGAATTCTGTGCCTTATTGCGTAGCGGCAAAGTCATCTTGTTCAAGGGAAGTGCCTTTTCCACATTACACTTCCGTTCTGCAAAGTCCTGGATCAAGAACAGCACTCTCTTTCATCTCTGCGGACATTAGCTGTGTGCCAAAGTCTCTTGGTGCTCCTTGGATATGAGGGAGTGCAGCCATTCTAAATTCCTTTTGTCCCTGAGATGTGTTCACTTCTGTGTCTGACTCGAGTTTCTCTACCAGGAGGCTGAGTGGATTTAATGGCTGATTCCTGTATCATTTTATTTTTATTTTTGCAGGTTGTATCAGTCTGTCAAACTTCTCTATTCCATTGGGATCTTCTTCACTTATGCGCTGCAGTTCTATGTCCCTGCCGAAATAATAATTCCTCCAGCTGTCTCCCAGGTTCCCGAACGCTGGAAATTGTGGTTGAACCTGCTGCTGAGGGTATGCCTGGTGTGTGTAACATGTGAGTAAAAGACTCAAAAAAGTTTTTTTCCTCTTTTCATTTTGCAAGAAAGAAATGTCTCAAATATAGGAGATATAACCAGGAGAATGCCTCATAATGATATATTTATGCAAGGCAGTCTTTCTCTGATAAAGTCATTGCGCAGGCATTCAAAGATAATGTTTTTTGCTGCTGGGAAATTATTTAATGTTGTGAATGTGAAGCAAAATGTGTAAACATGGATTTCTATGACAAAATTCACTTCAGTGATTCAGTGACATTGGTTCTTGGACACTTCTCTTTTTATTTATTTATTTATTTATTTATTTATTTATTTATTTATTTATTTATTTATTTATTATTCAAGCTTATATGTCGCCACTCCCCTGGGGCTCGGAGCAGCTTACAAGAATGACTAAAATCTAACACAATTTAAAACAATTTAAAAACAATTTAAAAACAGCAAATCAACAATCAAAGGCCTGTCGAAACAGGTATGTCTTGCATGCCCTGCGGAAAGCTAATAAGTCCCGCAAGGCACGGACTTCAGGTGGCAATGTAGAATCAGACTGTGAAGGGAGGCATTTCTTTTGAGACTGTCTTCCATTCCTGCTGCCCAGTGTCCTCAAAATGTGCTTTGAGAGTTTGTGGAACTTTCTGAACAATGTGGTAGATGCTGTGGAAGACTGAAAAAAGGAGGATACATCTGCTAAAATTGACTACACGCTGCCCTCCTCCAGAAAAAGTTTGTAGCCCTGAATGGTCAGCATGTAGCTTGTAGGCCTTTTGAAGTTCTCTGTCCATTGTCACACCAGAAGCAACTTGCAGTTTCTCAAGTCCTGACACACACACACAGACAAATTGCAAGAGCCATTCACTTAGTTTTTTTTAATGCCCAGAACCATTTGGTTAAACAACTTTAACTGTCATATCTGAAAAAATTCCAGAAGCATCGATTCTCCTTTAAAATAAAACAACACCCTCACTGGCTGCACATCTGTTTCCAGGCAAATTCAAAGTGCTGGTTATTACCTTTATATTCGTATATGGCTTAGGTTCAGGATATGGGACACAGCATGTGAGCCTGTTTGGGTCCTGAAGGAGAACCCTTCTTTTAAATTCATCACTTTCAGAGGTGGAGATGTTACCATCAATAAGTTCCTTTTGATGTTCAGTTGACATCCACCCCCCCATAACTTAAAATAATTAGACCGGGTGCTACCCTCTAGAACAGTGGTTCCCAACCCTTGGGTCCTCAAGATGTTTTGGACCTCAACTCCCAGAATCCCAGCCAGCGTACCAGCTGTTAGGAATTGTGGGAGTTGAACACCTGGGGGACCAAAGGTTGGGGACCACTGTTCTAGGACAGCAGAGAATAAACCTGCACCCTCCTCTCATTAGATATTTTGAAAGTCCACCATGTCACCCCTCAGTCTTCTCTTCACCATCTTGGGCATGCTGAGCTTCCTCAACCTTTCCTTGTATGTTTTGTTCTTTATGTATTCTATTTCTTCTCCAAAGCCACTCCATGTTGTCTGTATTCTTAGCACCTTGGTGTCTCAAATTTGCAGCTTGAAAATATGATAGGATATTTTTCATGGTGCTTCAACCCAAATTATTTCATTGTATTGCCAGAGGTCATAATTTGATAAGCATGAGAGCATTTATATTATAACTGAAGTTGCCATTACGTCACCTAAGTCACTTCTCTCTTGATCAAACAAAGTAAATGATAGCATTAATCATTACTAGATAGATAAAATACATAGCTATTTGTCACTCACATTTTTCCACTGGCAGCAAAGAATTTTGAGAAGTATTAGTTGCAAGTGACTCCAAACCATGTTTTCACATAATCCTTTTCTTGTATAGTTCAGTTACGGAGTGGAAAGTATCACTATAAAGAAAGTGTAGAAAAGGGACTTAAACCAGCTGAAAAATATATGAAATCTTTACGGAATTGCTTTTTTAAAGAACACTTGGAGTGTTGGAGACATGTTCAATGATTCTCTGAAGATGCCAACCACAAATGCAGGTGAAATGTCAGGAGAAAATGCTGCTAGAACACGGTCATACAGCCGGAAACCACACAAGACTTCAAGGAAAGTGATTGCACAGTCCTTGTAAACAAAAACTGTTGGTTGTTTGTGAAGAAAGCTGTACACATGCATTCTGTCAATGTGGGAGCTTTATCACCAAAATTTAGACAAACTGAAAAGGAGACCATTCTTTTTCAGAAAAGGCTTCTAGTCCTTATGATTGTGAATAGGTAAAGGAAGGCGGTCACAGGCTGGGAAGAGATCTGCACTACTTAAAGAAATCTGCCACTGCCCATCAGCTAAATTAGTTCCTAGTAAATAACTCCCATTTGCCAATGGAGAGAGGCTAAACTTTGAGCAATGAGAGCTGTTTGATCATGAGGCATTGGCAGGAAGAGCATTTCCTAAGGATCTTTCTTTGTGGTGCTTTGTAATTTTCTCTTTCCCTACTCCCAGTATTTCTCACTAAACCAAACTGTCCCCTTACTTGCCTTGGGAATGATTCTCAGTTGCTAACAGCATCAGCAGGGCATCACTCAGGGCTATTGGCCTCCATCAGCTAGCTGCTGGGAGAGTTGACAGAGGAGCTCAGGGAGATGGGCAGGAGTGGACCAAAGGCCAAAAGAAAGTGCCTGGGAAAGAACAAGGGGTTAAAGTGGATGGCTTCTGGCAGCTGGTGGTGTATGATGACAGCAAGTCATTTCCTCCTCCCCGCTCCCTCCACTGGATGAGAGGGATTAGTCATGTGTCAGAAAGGTGCTGAGGAAGGACACCGATTCCTTTTGAGTGCAGAGATCCCTGATAGGTTTTGTGCCTTCAGAGGCAAGGGAATTTAAACCAACCGGGCTCTCAGCAAGGATAAAAGCAATTAAGTGGGTTGCATGAATATTAATCAGAGTGATCTCACAGCCTCTGAAAGAGCCTGCGTCACCGCTTCGGTGTCCAAAGAGGAGATAGAGTTTTAGGGTTTTGAAGTGCTAAGTGAACGGAAAGAGAGGTCTAGTCAAAAACCCTTTGAATTAATATCTATGGCGAACATAATCGCTGTCCCCTGAGGGCAGAGGATATGCAGCTGGATAATTTCGTTTTGCTGCCTGTCCTCTTTCATTTTATATTTTTAGTGGGCGTTAAAATCCTATTCACTGTGAGACGTGGCAGTTGGCTGAGTCATAGAGGGGCTCCTGATGCAGCAGTTTTGACAGACTGTTATTCTGCCGGTCCAACTGAGTACTCCCTGATGTCTTTAGAGGAGGGTTGTTGAGATGGACAGAGGTGCAATCGAAATCTGCTTTAGACTATTTCCAATTTGCATTAACACACTTATCATCTTCACCCATATGTGTTTGCTTTCCATTTGGAGTGCTTTCTTAGTAGCAGCAGTGGGATCCTGTCCGTGCTTACTTGACAAGCAAGTCCTAAGTGTGCATAAGTCCCATCTGTGTTCCTTCTAACCCTCCCCTTTAAAAAAAATCATATTGTTGATTTTTGCCTGGATGTACCTCTGGCAGATACGTCATGCATGGGTAACGTGGGAAGGATCACTCTCGAGTTGTGTAGGCCTGTTGTCTTCCAGAAGCTGCACTAAAGTGATCAGACTTCCAGCAGAGTTTTAGTGTAGAAGTAGAAATTTGTCTAGACACACTCACAGCATTCTGTAGGAAAATTAAACAGAGATGGATGCCTTCCATCGGGTGGAGAGATTATTCCTTCCCTTGAAAAGATAGTTGAGAGAATGAAACAGTATATGAAATGAAGAGAAAGAGGGCTCTCTACTTGAGCAAGAAGGATAACAAAAGGAAGTCAGTTGAGCAGTGAACCTTCATAGGGAAATCTCAATTGAAATCTCGACCAAAGCAGGAACTTTTAGTAGTATGTTTAGCCTGAAGAAGAGAAGGCTGAGATGGCCATGTATAAGTATGTGAGGGGAAGTCATAGGGAGGAGGGAGCAAGCTTTTTTCTGCTGCTGTGAAGACTAGGATGTGGAACCATGGCTTCATACAGCAGGAAAAGAGATTCCAACTGAACATGAGGAATCTCATGTGAGAGCTGTTCAGCAGTGGAACTCTCTGTCCCGGAGTGTGGTGGAGGCTCCTTCTTTGGAGGGTTGTCACAGAGGCTGGATGGCCATCAATCAGGGGTGCTTTGAATGCGATTTTCCTGTTTCTTGGCAGGTGGTTGGACTGGATAGCCCATGAGGTCTTTTCCAACTCTATAATACTTAAACCAATGGGGTGAAGCACTTACCAGATGCAAAATGTCCTGAGAGGCAGTGACACTTGAGAGAAGTGCATTCATATCACTTGCTAGATTGGTGGCTCTCAGATATATTTGTCATTGTGATCAAATGCTTTCTTAAGGATGCCTTTTAAAATGTTGTTTGTTTCTGACTTTTTTCCCAACCCTGGGACACAAGGTGGCTTACAAAGTTAAAATGGGAACAGTATAATCAGAATTATATTTCTGTATTTTCTGTGTAAGTGGCCAGTTATGCAAAACCCCTGGAATTCGTGTCTACTTCTGTTAGAACAATCCATCTTAAATTTTGTTGTAATTGAATGAATATACAGGAAAGTTGCTATCCAGCATTTTCAGTAGCTTGACCAGACGTATTGTAACTCAATTAGAAAACGTCTGCCACCATTTTGATTACTCTGTTAGATGCAAAGTCCATAACTAATATATAAGTACATTGGATTAGCATTCTGCCTCATCATTTCTTGGAGCTCAACTCTTATCTGAATAGGCACAGTCTGGGTTCCTGTTCTGCAAATACTTCAGTTCCCCGCTTTCAGAGCTGGTCATTATTTTTAAAAGCAGCTGAACTCTTACAACAAAACAAATAACAATGTATTGTAGCTTACCTCTTTCCCAATTTGTTTTGTGTTGTCCTGCCCTTGTTTCCCAGGCTTATGGAAATGGGTTTTCTCACTGGAAAATATGAATTCTTTAGAATTTTCAAAAACCTACTTCAAAACACATAGG